CGTCGCAGTCCGGCGACGCATCGGTCCTCCTCCCGACAGGGTTTGCCACTTCTCTCCTTCTTTAGATTCCAAATTACGCGGAAATCTGAGGCAATCTGAGGTTAATTTCTTCATCTCGTTTGTTATTTCGGCAAATTACGCAGCGGCGTGCTTCTAATTGCGTATTTCATAGCTAATTTCATCGTGCCGGAGTTGATTATGAAATCGTACCGATCCGATGAGAGCGAAGAAAATGCTCGCGCGGAAGACGGAGAATCGGGCGCGAGTGAGGGGGAAAGCCGAGCCGGATCGTTCGGGAGGAAGAAACAGGGCTTTGGCGGCAACAAGAGATGACGGAACTTGAAGGCGAAGCCATGGAATTGTTTTGAATTGAATTCTGTAAGTAAATCTCAATCTTCTTTAACCTCTTTAGGTACTTTCTGTATCGAGAATTCAGAATTGTGGTGCAGAGGATAGGGAATTGGGGATCAGATTCTGTTCTTTCTTTTGTCATTGGATTGAAAACAAGATTACTGTTTGTTAGTTTGAAAAATCGTAAGATTATTTATGAAAAATCGAATCTGGTAATTAATGGATTTTTTTTCATGATTTTTATAGATATTTATAAGGTTAAAATGTTGTTATTATTATTATTTTAAAATTCGTCATATAATTTGACTCTTGCAGTGGCCAGTAAGTGTGAGATGATTTTTATGAGTCCCTATGCTGGTAATGTTCATTTGTTGTTTCTCAATTTCTAATTTTATTAAAAATTTTAAGTTTTTTGACGATTATTTATGGGAATGTTGGGTAACGTTTCGTTTTTTGTTTATGTTTTCTCGTTTTTAATAAATAAGAAATTAGAAAAATGCATGGTCCTAATATTCATAGATGCAAGAATGGTAAAACAAGATTTTTATTTATGTTGGAACAATAAATAAAAAGCTAGTCTTTGTTGTTTCTAAAATTTCTATACAATTTTGGTAATGTTTCTAAAAATGAGAAAAAAATGAATATAAATAATTGTGAAATGTTTAAAATTCCTAATAAAATTAAAAACGAGAAACAAAAAACAGTAACCCTACCAAATGGGCCATGTGGTTCTTGTTTCTCATTTTTTTTAGAAACGTTCTTAAAATTGTATATAAATTTTGGAAATAACCAATTTGTTTCAAAGTATAAATAAAAATATTATTTTATCATTTTTTGATCGAGTATTAGGAGCCCATTTCTATGTTTCTTTATTAAAAATGAGGAAATAGAAACAAGAAACGGGAATGTTATCAAATGAGTCCTAAACCTTAAAATCAAGTTTGTTTGTTTTTTTAGTTTTCGATTTTCCAAAAACATAAATAAAATCATTGTTTTATCATTGTTTACCTATAAAATTCATAATAAATATAACATAAATTTTTTGAATATTTATTTAATAAACTTAATAGAAACCTTTTAACTTTTTAAATATAAAATTTTAGAGAAGATGGCTCAAACATGAAGTAGAAAATAAATGAGTAAAGTCGACACTCAATCCAACGTTAATTTTTGCTATTCATGCATGTGTTTCAATTACAACCAAAATTGTAATGGCAAAGACTCCCAATTTAATAATCATTTTATTTTCAAAAATTATGTTGGGTTCCTCTCAATTTATTTTCAAACAAAATCCACAAAAAGTAACCATCAAAGTCATGTGTGTTATACTTTTATAATTTTTGTTTAGTTCAACGACGCGTAGGGTGAGTGATCGAATCATCAACCTTAAAAGAACAATATATATCTTATCCATCAAGTTATGCTCCAATTCAAAAATAAAAATAACAATTTTTATTTCTACAAACGATTGTTTTGTCAATGATATTATATAGATGGGGACCATATTCTTGCATAAGTACTGATTGTTTATATTATCAAGGTTAAATTATAAGTTTCATCTTTATGATTTGGACTAATTTAAATTAGTCAATATAGTTTCAATTGGGTGTTGATTTCAACTAAGCTCCTATGGTTTTAAAAGCTTAAAATTGGTCTTGTAATTTCAAACATCGTGACTTGTCCCAATTCTTCTTTTTTCTTTCTTTAGTTCAACAACATGTAGAGGCGAAGATTCGAACCTTTGTTTTAATCAATTTGAGTTATGCTTATGGTTGATTATCAACGTAACACATTTTCAATTAATATATATGACAATGAGCTTATATTTTATGATTTAACTATGTGTGTTAGATGCAAGCTTAGATTGGAGAGAAAATAGAGACAAATAAACATATTTTTAGATGAGGAAAAAATGATATAGAGATAATTTATGAGATTTCATCCAACCGACATAATTAAAACCTTTGAAAGTTATTCTTATCAAATTGAAACCAGTAATTAATTAAAAATCAATATTTAAATCATTCTCTTACGTAATCAACAAGCGGGGATAGCTCAGTTGGGAGAGCGTCAGACTGAAGATCTGAAGGTCGTGTGTTCGATCCACGCTCACCGCAATATTTTAATTTTTGAGGACACGTCATCTAGATTCTTAATGGGCTTTATTTGATTTGGAAGTTTATTTGGGCCTCCATCACACCAAGCGGCCTTCCATTGACTACTGGCTAGATTGTGTATCACTTGTCCAGCATGTATTAATGTTAGTTTAAAAATTAAAAGTTTTTTATTTTTTTTATATTTTATATTTTTTTAGTTTAGAAACATAGGGATGGTAATTCCAACTTCTCATATTTTATAACTTTTCAAAAATATTATTTGATAGAAAAATCATTTGATAGTCCTTTCCAAGTTAAATTACAAAAATAAATAAATAATTTGTCATTTTTTAAAAATATCTATATCCTTCCAAAAGTTCCAATACTACAATTTATCTTCTAATAAGAAGTTGACATGACACGACACATAGGTCTCAATTTTGACTTAAAAATTTTGTTTCATCATCCATTGTCTATACAATTTTGTCTATCCTCGTTATTTGGTGTGTTGTTCATCATTTTATAAATATATTTGAATTATTAGTCATATCTTAAAAAATAAAGCTACTTTAAAGATGTTTTTAAAATATAGGTAATAAAAAACAAAAACTATTAATATTCCTGAGGTTCCATCTCAAGATCAATTGGAGATAAAGAAGAGTAACTCATGTCTATTATTGTTAGATCCCCTCTTAACGTGAGATTTTTAACGTGTCTCTCAAGATCGTGGCTCTTTTGACTCATCGTTGGCCGAATTCCATTTTTGGATCGATTACACGTTTGAGCGTTTTGGGCTTCAAGATCATTGCTCTTTTGGCTAATCAATATTTGAATCATTCTAATGCATAATCAACAAGCGGGGATAGCTCAGTTGGGAGAGCGTCAGACTGAAGATCTGAAGGTCACGTGTTCGATCCACGTTCACCGCATTGTTTTTAATTTTGTTTGAATATTTAATTTTTAATGGGCTTTCATTTGATTTGAAGTTCTGATTTGCAATATATCTTACATGACTTTGTATATAACCCTTGAGATGAATGCCATAATGGACCACTAGCTTAAAATAACCTTAAAAGTAATGGAAAGTCTTGAGGTTGAAAACTACAATAATAATGAGCTTTAAATTCGAAAATGAGACCATTTGGTCAACCTTAAAGGTTTTTGTAACTATCCATGAATAAACATAGTCATAGTTGAACTGGGTTGAAATTTATTTCCAAGGTTTCTTGAGATGTGCGGTGAACGTGATCTTCAGTCTCTCTCAACTGAGCTATCCCCGCTTTTGTCGTAGAATATTGTCTTTGTTTTTATATTAATAAATTTATGTATTTGATAGCTCTTTTCAATTCAAAAATATTTTTGGTCCTAGATTTAGTCATCTCCGCTTTCAAATTGATATTAATTTAATCTTTATTAACACTATGTAACAATTTCGTAATTTAAAAATTGTAACAATTTAATCTCTAAAGTGGAAAACCTCATGAAAATTAAGTGTCAGATTCTTTTTATATAATAATTTAATATTTGTAATTTATAAATACATTTAATCTATCAATTCAGAAATCTACCCACATTAAAATCCTTATCAAATTTTAACAATAATTTTCAAAATAATAACTAATTTGCTACAAACTTTAAATTATAAGAATTAAATTATTACCCACTAAAATTTAGGGGCTAAATCGTTACTTCAAAAAAAGTACCGAAACCAAAAGTCTTTTTAACCTTAATTTTATTATGTACATACATGTTATTGCCTCTAGTAAGAAAGCATTATAAACATCTTTGTTCACTATGATAATGCATGGTTTCTTATAACAGTAATGAAAAAATATATATATCAATGTTCAATAATCATAGATTACGTTTGAAACTTAACCTAATAACAATTATAATAAGAAGAAAAAAAGTGGAACGCCTCTTAATTCTACACCTCACCCAACTGTTCTACAAAAATTCCAGTCAAATTTGGGGCTCACAAACTAAGATCCTTAATTGAAATCATATGGAAAATGTTAAAAGGAAAAATAAAAGAAAACTGCACATGATCTTGTTAACATATTCTAACATCTAAGATGAACAGAAACTTGCAGATGGTCTAAGATATAACCTCAACTGCAGAGTTTGAGCTTCAGTATACTTCATCACATAACAATTTTACTTTTACTGTCTTCTCCAACAACTTCTTGAAGCTATCCTCATTGCAGTCTTTTTCCTGCATTATTTGCAATCGAGAACGGAGGGCGAAAACGTGGTATGGATGCAAGCACTTGAATACTGTCGGATCCCGATCATAGTCCTGGGAGAACAAAAGTTTGAAAAATACAATAAAAGAGTGAGAGTGAGACAAGGAGTTGAGATCTACTGTTTTTGATAATCAGGGTGTGGAGTGTCATTACATCTTGGACATTCTGATACTTATTGGACATGTATGTGTGTCACACGCTAGTTAAACAAATTAGATATGGATCCAACGCTTATTAGGCATACATCGAACGCTTATTAAGCATAATAAATAGACATAAATAGTAATATATGACCAAATGATAAATTTTAAGAGGAAAATGCATCAAACTTATTTTTTAAACATAAAAATGCAGAAGCTCATTCGCTTTCAATTTTCTTGTCGTATAAAAATGATATATATTTTAAAAATAATAAATGTATCGTTGTTGTCGTCGTGTCTTAGATTATTAGAAAATTACGTGTCACCGTGTTTGAGTGTCATATCTATGTCTCGTGTCCTTATTTGTGCTTCTTTGATCCTAAGTTAATAAGACTCATTCGATAATCATTTTGTTTTGAAAATTATGCTTATAAACACTACTTTTTGTTATCTACTGTTTTAGCATTTTTTCAAAATCTAAACCAAATTTTGAAAACTGGTTTTAAAAACTTGTTTTTTGTTTTTGAAATTTCACTAAAAGTAAAATATGTTTTTAGAAAGGCGAAAAACATACCTAAATTGTGAGGAAACAAGCGTCATTTTTAAAAACATAAAACAAAAAATGAAATGGGGCCTAAGTTTTCGAATTGAGAGCTTGAACCCAAAATCTTGGATAGGTATCTCCAAACATCTCAAACCCTTGCCATGAGAGCACCTTCTAATGTATAAATAAATACAAAATTTCTCTGGATATTTAGGTAAGCAAAACAATTTTTTCATTTTTCATATTTGTAGATAATTACTTGAGCATAATGACAACGGACGGAACATTTCAACCATCGAGGGATAATAGCAGCAAGACAGACAGGCATCACAATCATACACCCATTTTTAGCTAGTTGGTATGTACTTACCTTTTCCGTCACAACAACGACTGGTTTTGGTTTGTAAGCAAACTTCTTCTCCAATTCCTTAAGCTTTAGTTTGATCAGTGCAATATCCTATATGAATTTGAAAATCGATAGGCAGGCATCAACAAATCGAATGCAAGGTGGCAATATCAACGGTTATGCAGAAAGGTTATGAAAAACTCTTTTATCCAGCACAACCTCTGTGGCTATGTTCAATCTAGAAATGATTCGAACTCCAGCTGGGAATATGATGGCATTAACCAGTCCAAAAATTGATGATATTTCTAATTTGAAAAATTCTTTTCCATTTCGAGAAACACTGTTACGTCTACGACATATAGGACAGTGTATGTGTTATAACACGCTGCAGAAACATAGTTACCCTATCTTGGTATGTGTGATGGTCACTGAAGTCGAGTCGATCAACATGATATGTTCCTATCTGCACCAAATGATTTTCCAATTGCATATGAAAGCAGCACACAAAATAGATAAGAGGTTAGAAATGCTAGTGCAAACTACAGAAACATCAACCAAGCTACAATATGGGCGTTAAAAGAATGCTGAAAAGAAATGTGTATAGTGAGAAGATAAACATGAAAAGAACTGTTACCTTTTGCATTGTCTGAACAAAAGCATCGGCAGAGCCAATGGCAGAAACACATAATACCACACTGTCAGACAATGCTCCCAAAGATATTCGGTAGTTTATATTTGTAACTTCAAAGAAAAATGAGGGAGCCATTTCAGTAAACACAATGGTAAGTGAATCCTTAATTTGCCGCAATGTTACCATAATATCTTCAATATTTTGTGCTGAAACCTGTGATTTAAAGGGAAAAATTCAAGTTTACGATAGATTTGAGACTTTATAACAAGTAATTAGATCTTAATGAAAATGAAGAAGCTGCTAACAGCCATATGCATTATAAATTATTATCCAGGGGTGGGACAAAAAGTCAGATCCACATTTTTTTACCAGATTAGCATGATGAATTATGGCAACATCTGCCCTTTTGATTGCAGCCAATGGTTCTCTTAAAGGTCCAAGGGGTAATAATTGGCCATTTCCCCACAGTGTTATCCCGTTGAACATAACGACCTCCAAGTCATGGTGCAAACTCCAGTGCTAATTTCCATGAAAATATTAAGCTATCACAGTCAACAATCTGTAGCAGAAAGCTACTTTCAAAAAATCTCAACAACAAACCTCATAAAAATTAAAACCGACAAGGCTCACAAATACCTGATAATTCATACCACTTGTTCTATCAGTCACCGTTTCTACAAAACTCATGCAAGAGATCTCACGGTACAAGTATCATTAACAACTAATAATTCAGAGGATGATGTACCTGCATTCCATCATCAAGAATAACAGCACCAATTTTTTCTGATTTAGTAAGCTGATTTCGCACTTGTTCTGAACGATGATTATCAGCTGATATACTACTTTGAGATCCAACATAACCATATTTGTTAAAATACCAAGCAGCAGTGGCTCTCCTATCTGCTCCAATACCTACTTTAACAGGACTCCCAGCAAGATGCCTCCTAAGCATTTTAGCTTCATCCCCACCAGCATATCCCTGGAAGGAAATCAACCCAGCAAGATTACCAACTTTATTTTTAGAAACCATAAAAGTTATGGGCAATTATCAAACAAGGATTACTTCTTTTTGAAGCATCATCAAAACAAGATTGGCAGTTTACTCTGCACATTCTTGCTACAAGCTTTTTTTTATCGAAATAATAACAAATCTGTTATTGATATATGAGAAGAACAAAGGGAGTAAGGTACTCAACCAAAATCTCAGGAGATTACCCCCCAAAAGAAAAGAAAAGAAAAATGCCCTCCAATTGATGTAAGCCAAGAGAGAACCACTTCGAGTTCGACACGACGACACACATCCATCATATACAGATTGCGAATGGTGAAAAGAAAATTATGGTATCCTCAAATTCAGTTACCCTATTAAGAATTAGAGGTGAAATCCCAGAGCCAGCAAGCCATAAGGCAATGAACTCGACCATTGGTGTTTTCCCATTGCCTCCCCAAGTCAAATTCCCAACACTAATAACCGGCACTGGCAACCTTCATATGAACATACAAAAAATAGAACAAAATCAACACGAACAACAGCAATAAACGAAGTATCAACATATGAAGAACCTCGGCAGTTCACGTTCAGTGACTGAAAAATAAAAATTAGAACAATGTAGCTCATCAATCCTTCGCTATTACGAAACAAAACCATGCAAAAACATACACACGAGCTCGAGCAACTCAACAACCCTGCCCCAAATTTGAAAAACTATCGAATCCCTTCAGTGCCACTCTAAGAAAAGCAACAGAAAACAACATCCGAACCATGAATTGACCCCGAATTCAGGCGAAAACCTACGGCTTACTCCTACCGATGCTTGCGAAATATGGCGTAGAGGAAGAGATGACGGCGGAGGCACAGACCGAGCTTGTAGAGAGAAGACGCCGAGTAGAGGAAGGGGATGAGAGAGCGTTGCAGAGAAGAGAGCTTAGCGTGGTCCCTGTTGTAGGCGATCTCGATCACTGAATTTCTCAGCTTCTCCATGGATGAAGACGAAGAAGCGAATGCTACAGTGATCGGAGAACCGAAAGAGAGAGAGAGGGAAACTGGAAATTTTGGAATTGGGAAACTATTGACTCACGAAACAAAAATCTTGAAAATAAGGGATTAAAAACCATAGCTAACCCTTTGTTTTCCGTTTTGTTTGGCTGAGTAATTGAACCTTAAGATTTGGTAATTGAATCTTAATTTAAAAAATTGTTAAATGTGCGTTTAGTGATATATTTGTAAATTCGGAGAAGTTACGAATTAAATTTTAATTTAGACTAAAGTTGTATTGATTAATTTATTAATATCTTTTTTATGAATTTTGTTACAACGTTATATCATTTATAATATATTATATTTTACATGTTTTAATTTTAATAAACGTAAAATGAATTTATAATATGAAGTAATATATTTATCAAAATTTTAAACATTTTAATGTAATTCTGCATCTTAAAATTTTCAAATTCTAAATATGAAAACACTGAAATCATTAAAAAGTCGTTTTCAGAATTTCTACTGTTTGGATCACAAAATCGTTTTTTTTTTACTAAATGTATTAATTAATTATATATTTTTTTATTTTTAACATAACATTTGGAGAGGGAATTTGAATCCACCTCTTTGAGTTGAGGAATATGTCAATTACCGCTGATGTATGCTTGCTCTGACAAATGTATTAATAAACTAAATTAACTATATTTATAGTATGAAGAAATAGGCTAGATTTTAGATTGGGTTATCAACGATTTGTAAGATTTAATTGTACCGTGGATACCAAATTGATATTCAAAACCACAAATACTAAATTGAAACTAATTATAAATGAGGTGGATTATATTGAAACTCTTAAAATGATAGGTGCTCGATAGAAAAAAAAAATGATGGAGGAAAAATTAAAAATAATCCCAAAATATATGGTGACTAAATTAAAACTTTTAAACTACACAAATTAAATTCAAACTAATTCTCAATTATAATGACTAAATTGAAATTTTTAAAATTATTTGACCAAATTAAAACTATGCTTGAATCATATACACTATATTTATAATTTTCTTATGCTTAAATCATATAGGCTATATTTATAATTTCCTTGGCAAGTAATAATAATATATTAGATTGCTTTTATTTAGTTGATTAACTTGGATAAGTTATTAGTTTCTAGTTGATTATTTGTTTCTAAAATATCAAATTTAACCCTAGACGTAGTCGGGTGTATCAATTTTAACTGTAATCTTTTAATTTCATAAATTTGCATTTAAACTTTGCAAAATTCGCCCTAAACTTTAAAGGTGTTGTAATTTTGACCATTTGATAGGTTTTCATTTAGAGATTTATTGAAAAAAAGTATTATGATATATGTCAAATGAATTACAAAATATATATTTGGTATGAAATCGATACAATTTAGACAAATCAAAAAATGCAGTATAATATTGTTTGTATTTAAATTTGTAAGTTTTGACAGAGTTATTTAATGGTCAATTTTGTGCATTTTAATCAAACTCTTTTTTTAATACGTGTGGGGATGGGGAATCGAATTCACAACCTATTCTGTGCATTAATCAAACTTAATTTTGTTTGATTGTATTAAATTAGTGAATTATGAAAGTTGTTACATTTATATGTACTAGTGTATTACCACGTGCAATGCACGTATAATTTTTTTTTAATTATAAGGTAACTTAAATTTTATATAATTTCACGTAAAATATTTTAAGTATAATTATTTTAAAAAATAATTAAGATTAATTTTTATATATATTTATTATTATTGACAGCTAATTACTAATAATAAAATGTACTATTTATAATTATTTTTAAAATATACTATTATAGTTAATTGTTAATGATATATTTTGTAAATAAATAAATTAAAAGTAAAGGAAAAAATTATATATTAATAAAAAAGTAAATAGGTATTTTAATATTTTTATTTTTAAATTATTTCAACATAGTCCTTTATTTTATTTTTTTAATATTTTGTTTGTTTATTAAATATTTGTTTAGGGCTGACGTTTTGTTGTATATGTTGAATTTTTTAACTAAAACTAAATTATTTTATTGATTTAATTTTATATTATAATTAAAATTATTAAAGAAAAATTCTTCAAATTATATTATTAGAAAATAAAATGACCAAAAGTTTTATATTCTACCTTTTACGATTCTATACAAATTATTGTTTATAATTAATTTATTAATTAAACATTTTTTTTTATATACTGACTTCTATGATTGTTTTTTTTTTCAACAATAAGAACATGAGCTTGTAATTATCTATATTTTAAACAAATATTCTAAATAAAATTGCTAAAAAAAATACACGAAACAATAAAAAATATTAGTAACAAAAAAAAAGTCCAAATCCTAAACTAAATAAAATTGCTAAAAAAAGAAACATTCCAAATAAAAAACACACTAATTAGAAAAATAACAATAGTAACAAAAAAAATCCAAGTACTCACTATACACTCATCTTTTAGAGTAAATAGGTTCATTCTTGAAGATTGCTTGACAGATACTATTATTCAACTTTGTAAAATTGTGGAATGGTAATGTTACAAACCTAGTATTCAAGATATGTAGATTCAACATATGGCTCTCTTGCAACTTGATGAATATGTCACAAATATCTCGAGATGTTTTTAAGATTAAATCATCTTTGAGAGATGTTTCAAGGAACTAAGAATAAAAAAGTATTGAAACTTGTGAAAAATAGAAGAAAACCTATTTTTATAGTAGTAGAGGATAAAACGTTACAAAATCTTTTCAAATTCTAAAACTCTTTGAAATTCTAGTATGAATTTTAATTAAAGAAAAAATTAATTTTATGCTGTTGGAAAACTTTTTGCATTCTAACCTTTTATATAAATAGTATTGATCATTAATAATTAATAATTAATTTAATATTTGTAATAATATATTAATGACATAATTTGTAAATTTGTAAATTTAGTAAAGGTAAAAGTGTCCAAAAATGTTTTTCCTACATCCTACCTTTTTAATATAGTATAGATATAGATTGTTAGAATTTTTTTTGAGGGTATATATGTATTGTTAGAATTAATAGGTGGAATAGCATATATTGAATAGCAAAAATTGCGATATTTATCTAAGTTTAAAGTTTTAATTTCGATGAAAAAAGAATTATAATCAAAATTGTTACCAGCCAAATTTAGCGTTAAAAAATCAAAATTTCCTTATAAGTAATCACTTATTTTGGACTTCCATGTAAGAGGTTATAAACAACTTGAATTGTGATATGTCATTTTTTGGACAATATTCAATAGAATACGTTTTAGAGACGTTGTTATCTCAATTTGTAGTATTTTTCGTTTTTAGGATTGATTTTCAATTCATTAATGATTGTTGAATCATTTACCTTTAACTATAGTTCTAAATATCAGTCGACATGTCGACATATCCATGTTTCTATAGGTTCGACATCGATATGAGGGGGTAAATCGATATGTCCATTATAGTACAATAAAATCAATAAAACATGAAAAATATCAAAAAAACGTCACTAATATATACATAATATTAATATTGATTATTTTTAACTAATTTAGAAATAGGAAAATGTTTATTTTATTAATTTAAATATTTTTTACGAATTTTTAATTTTTCTAACTTTTACAGAAATATCCATCGACATCAACATTTTATCGATATTTCGATTGATAATTCTATGAAATTGAGATATTGACATTTCCATCGACATGGACATTTAAAACCTTGCCTTTTAACACGTGACAGTAAACCTAGTGTAGAAAAAAGAGGGGAGGTAGCCAAATTTGTTCCATAGGGTGGAGAGAGTATATGGAAACACAAGTGGAAGATTTCTCGAAGACGAGATTAATCCACGTGTGGTAGTCTCGTTTAACTATAAATTTCCACTTATTATTAAAAAAGAAAACACCAAATTTGTTTGTATTTCAACCTATGGTCCTTAATCTTTTGGAGGAGAGATGAATAATGTCTTATAATCAACTAAATATATAACTTAAAAAATGACAATAATTATTCATTTATTCGATCAATATTTAACTTGAATATTGACCGAGACAATTATAGTAAAAAATTGTTTAGATGATAATTACGGGAGTAGGAAGTTGAACTATCTCCCTTTGAGATGATAATAAGTGTCTTATTTACTAAGTTAGGTTCAAATTGACACAATTATAAAACGGACATCCACCATTTTTCACCGATCAGATGTTATGAGATTGATATGATTTAGAAATTGATTTGATATGATTTGAAATTTATAATTTAATTTTGAATATCATTTTGATTTAGATGTTTTATTCCTATTATAATTCGGAATCATTCTATTATAGATAAGATGATATGTTGTGTATCAAATGAGACATTGAATTGAATATGAAACTTTATTTTGTAATTCTCTCTCCTTTCTTTCCTCCCTAAAAGCCTAAATGTAACAGAGATCCTCTTGAATATCATACTGATCATCGTATCCATTTTTGCTAGTTGACTTTACCCAATCCAAGTATCTTTGGCTTCGGGTCTTTCCTCGGATTGTAGGATCACGAGAGATAATAGCTGCTCTTGATTGACGGAAAACACCTACGGTAGTTAAACATAAGTTGAAATTTATATTTTTCCCCGATTCCAAATCCTACATCCTTTCCTTTTATAATAATTTTTGAGCTGCTGTCTCTAATATTTTGGGGCGAAATCTGGTCGTGACAATACATGGTAAGGCTACGTAAATCATATGTGTATAATCATAGAACATTAGAGGAAATCAGACTAGCTATATAACTCACCTGGCATAATTGATTATGTGAGGAGATAGATATTATGCCAGGAGATATGATCTATCTGATAATGATACCTCCACCATGTAGGTGCAATAGGCTCGATGAACTACGTGTAATGCCAATACCACGTTTAGAAATGCACTCGTGGTAAGCCGATGTGAAATAGGTGCTGCCAAGGTAAGACAATAACTTGCTGGCATGACTCATATGCAGTTGACTCGTGAAGTAATAACCACACATGATGAAGATTGGAGTAAGGTAATAACTCACCGCGTCGTGTGATTGTTCATATGTGTTTGTGCAAATATACTTGCTACTCGTTGAAACTACGAGCGTGGAAGCATGAAAATTAAGGCCAATAGACCAGAATTTATCTGGATAAATGTTTGGGCAATGTTCAATTAAAAGTAAACAATCTATTACATTCAAGTTCGATTTGAGCTAGTTTAATGTTAGTTTAAACTTGAGAGAAACTTTAGCTAGCATACCACTGTGTCTAGTTCGTTATTTGCATGTATTTCAAAAACTTATTGTGACGTTCAATACATCTACCGCCTAGAAAAAGGTTTGTGTAAATATCAAAACCATATTATTTATTTTTTAGGTTGTAATTATACTTAGCTTCTCAATTAAAAACATGAATATGAATGGAAAAAAACACAAATATTTTTTGTTTACTGTCTCTTCAAATATATCATTATTCTTCAACAGGGAGGATTTAACTAAGATGAAGAATAAAAATTACAGTTATAATCAATTTTTATTATAACCACTAAAATATTTATTAGAGGAAAAAAAATATTTTTAGTCGGTTATAAAATTTGACCCTGAAATAAATAAATAAAACAAATTTAATTTCATAATTTCCTAGAAGCAGACAGTTTTTAAACAAATTGATTACGGTAACAAAAATAACAAATTTATTTTAGTCGGTTCTAAAATTTGACCATGAAATAAAGAAATAAAGAAATTTAATTTTATAGTTTCCTAGAAGCAGTCAATTTTTAAACAAAATTGATTGTTGTCCCTTTACCACGTGGCTTAATCGGAGCCGTTGACGACATGGAAAAAACCCAAAATGGGAAGGCAATTTAAAAAGAACGGCGACGTACGATGTCACGTGGCGGATGAAGTAAAACTGAAGGCACAAAATTGCAAAAAGACCGAAATGTCCTGTCCGGCAGACGCTTAAAATAATATATGAAGTGGTGGTTTGGTCAAAGTGCTGCGTTGGATAGGGTCCCCACTTCCCCTTGTCGCTTTCGTCTTTTTTCAAATAATGTTTGAAAATTTGTTCCACTCGCTTGAGTTGCGCGTGTTCTTCACCTTAATTTGCAATCCTATCTGTACACATCAGATAAAATATTTTAACTGTTTGATAGTTTGACTTTGACTCAAATTAACCTTTTTTCTTTTTGTTGTGTGTTGATAAGTTTATTTTAAATTTTAATGAAGCACAATGGGAAAGAGAGGCACCTTTCTTGACTCAAGCTTTATAACAATAAATTAAAATATTTCTAACTTATTTTCCTCCAAATAAATAAATAAATAAACATGTCTATATCGTTTTGTTAGAGATACCATGAGTGGTTTACATAATGTAATGAAAGTGTGGATTTCGAATTGTAACCTCCCATTGCTCGAAATCCGATGAGTGCAAGATTATGTGGGTGGGTTGGCTAAGACGACGTGACTGGACAGTCCGACTAGTATATGTGTTGAGTTATGAGTATGGATGGATGAACCTCATCTTTAATTTTGGGCTAGAGAAAAACACTCTTGACATGACTTTATATAGCGTGTGACTATATTGGAAGAATTGAGCGTAGGTTAATTACCAATTTTTATTGGAAAATTCAAATAGTATTGCAAAAAACGTAACGGGCTAGGTTTATTATTAGGATATAACAACTATTAAGACTTCTCATATAAATAAGAGAATCTCTATATGTGTGATAGATTCCAAGCAAATTATCGTTTATGTTGACATGGCATGGTCAATCAAGGTATGTTGAATAAACAAGACATCAGTGTACGTATGTTTACAAATACTTTATCTCTCGATAATCCATATATAATAGCATACAACTGACTAGACCAATTCAAGTGATGGTCTAATCTAAAAATTGACACATTCAACTTTTAATTTAAGATAATTGAATTAAAGAGTGTAATCAATAATTTAAATTAATTTGCCAACATGAGTTTAACTTGAAGATAATTAAGTCTATGATCAAGAGGTCATGAGTTCGAATCCCCAACCATTTTTCTTATACTAAAAAAATAATTTAAATTCGTTTTTTAATATAAAATTTGTAGCTATTTATAAATAAGCATCTTTGTTACATACTAATTTTGGTTCAACTTCTGGTCCTTTTGTATAATTTTTAGCTTCATTCTGGTAATACATCTAAGTTTATTTGGAACCTTTTCTTTCTTACTTAACATTATTTTTAGCTTCTGATATATTTTTGGTTGGAGTTGAATTTTTTTTTTATTTCTTGGTTTTATGAATTAGATTTTACGAATAATATCCAATATTATTAAGTTTCATAGTGTTAATTTATAAAACAACAAAAGTCCATATGCACCCATTTGTGTTTAAGGACTATATATATATATATATTAAGCGGACTTCCCGGTCACTGATCACTCTTTTGTATAGGGCATTTTGACTCTCACAGCTCAAAATTCTTTGAGAATCTTCTTCATCTTGTCTAAGTGTTCAGACACGCTCGTCCCCTCAAGCATCTTGCTTGGGAAAAACCGTTTCTGAAGAAACTTCATGTTTACCATTGTCACTGACTCATACATTCC